CACTCCACATTTTCACCTTCTCACTCCTCTTAAACCGTCACTTCATCCATTATTTAAGCTCCCCGTTTTCTAACTCCACTTATTTCACCTTCATCTCCACCTCAAAGTTCCTGAAGTATTTCGTTTTTCTCTCCCAAACCTTCCAATTTCTCCCTCTCTAAAACGACCTTCCAAATTTATGGTTGGTTTTTCTCCATAGTGACGCTATTCGCCACCTTAAGAAATCCCTCGACAGATACTGACGCTGCAGATAATTGAAATATGCCGGAACAGTTATAACAGCGCCCTTGACAATCAAAACGGTGAAGATGTAGCCCTTTTTAAGGGTGCTGGTATAACTGTTCCTGCAAATTTCAATCGTCTGTAGCCCGCAATCACTGGCGGGGCTAATTAAGTGACGTTGGGTGATTAATTTTTTTTTATTATAAATTTAATAACATTGCGTTATTTGGTATCACATGAATACTGCAAACCTAACCCCAAAAAAAGTTAAGTTAAATGTCTTGTTTTTTAATTGAGATTCTTCTATAATTGTTAATGTTGTTGCTGCCGCCATTGAACAAGAGAGCCAAAGCAAGAAAATTAGAGTCGGGAAGAGAGAGAAAGTGAGAGCTTATCTAATTTTTCTGGGATTGGAAAATGTGTGGGATTACTTTTTTAATTTGGAAAGTTGATTTCCTCGGCATTTTTTAAGGACGGTGGTCTACTTTTTTAATGCTTTTTTCTAATTGAGTAAATTAGAATAGAAAATCTATTTTTGCCATATTATTTGGTCTGTTTTCAACAAATCTAGTGTATTGGTTTAGCTTGTTTTCGGTAGGCTTTGAATAATTAAAAACTAGAAGGATGCTAGTGTTATTTTAGTTTAATATTTCTCTTTGAATTGTTCGACTAATTTTTTTATTTTTAGATTTTAAATTTAAGTTTTGACCGACTACTGTGTTTGGATTTTATTTTTTGGTTTTATTGTTTTTGGTTGTGATTTTTGTCAAATTATATGATATCCATAATTCGTCCCCCCAATTTAACTCGCTTGGCTCTCGAGGGATTTCTTAAGGTGGCTTACAGCGTCATTATCCTGGAAACACCTATCATGCGTGAGGAAGTCAAGGTGGTTTTAGAGAGGGTGAAATTGGAAAGTTTGTGAGACCAGAAGAAAGAGAATGTTATATTTATAAGTACCCGGTGAGGTACAATGGTGGATCTTGACAATTTTCTTTTTGGGGGCCGAATTAAAGTTGAATTTCTAAATTTAAACCATAGTAGATACTAATAACAATGTAAAATAGTTTAATCTTACTTTTTTAAAGTAGCTATTAATAAAAAAAAATCATCAATAGCAAGTATAGTACATAAATAATTAAATATCATTGCTAATTGCCTAATTCTTTAAAAATGAATAACGTAGTACTGTATTATTGTTTATATAGAATAAAGTTTTTTTTTTTTTTGAAATAAAATTAAAAATTTGTACTTGACTACCAATAATACTGCCATTTATGATTTATGTAGTGAAAGATGGACCAATTTGTCATATGTCAAACTCACATAGGAGTTTATGCCAAGTAAAAACATATAGAAGAATACTACATGGTACATAAGGTTTTTCTAAATTTTAAGTCTAATGGGCTACAAGTAGGGCTTCTTTTTTTAATTTGGTTCCTAATAAAAAGTTGGATCAAATTCTAAGAGGGGAGAAGATCCGCCCTTGGTGAGGTAGATTTTTATCATTAAGGTCTAACTTGCAATGCTCTGATGTGAATATCTGGCCTTACTATCTATTTGACATGGTTTAATTATTTGATTGATTATCACTTGCAAATAAAAGTTTCTAAAATAAGTCCACATATAAGGGGAGCAAGCAGAGGCTTGAATGCCGGAGCGCGCCTTAGTGATGGAGGGGATTCGCGCCGGATGGAACAAGGCGGTTTGAACCATAGACTACTGTTGCTGGAATGAAGGACCGCTCCGGAACAGAATTATGCTGCTTGCTGGGCCCTGATGGTGGAACTGGCATTTTTAGGGGGAAGAAAGCGGCCCCCTTTTCGGCGGAGTGGGCAGCATCGCTTTCTGTCGTGTAGCCGTGATGCCATTTAGAAAGAAGAGACCAAGAAGAAGAAAAAGAAAAAGCAGTATTTTGTAGATTCTTAACATCACTGGAAAAGAAGTTGAGTTGTAGGCATCAAGGTAAGGGGCCGAGATTTTATACTGTTGCAGAAGCGGAATCGAAAGGCTTGGTTGAAAGGTAAGGATAGCGTGATTGGTCGATTGGTTGGAAGGTATGCATTGCATGATTGACTGCTTGCGGGTCGATCATGGACCACAGTCACGCAAATTATCGTTCTTCCTCCATGGCATTTTTTTAATTTCTATTTTGAATTCTTTTCCTAAATGTTTCAAAAGTGTAATGGGGTGATTACGGGTAGAAGAGAGGTGATCTTGTAAGTGCTTTAGGACTCTAAAGGAAGAAATAAAAGAAGTTTAAAAAACCTACTGCTTGAACAATCCAAGTCGGAGCCGTAGGTTTGTTTTGCCGAATTCCGTAATAATATCTGTCTGTTTTCCTGCTGTTTTGCTCCTTGTTTTTAAGCCTAGAATTAAATCTCGAAGCCTTTACACTGAATTTTATGCCAAACTTGATTTTATGTTCTGTACTTCAGTTGTATTTACGTAACTCATTTTAAATCCTTGAAATGAATCTCAAAGCCTTGACACTGAATAGATAGATTTATGTACTACACCTTGAAAACTGCGTTCGAGAACTTGAAATTTTATACTTGCGCAGAATTGGCCATACTCTAGTATACTTGTTATTATTCTATTCAACCTATTGGCCATACATATTAAGTATTGACCCTTCATCCTTGTCGGAATTCAAAAAGGGGATTATAACAACGTTTTGACCATTTTCTGTTGTAGTCTTATTTATAGGTTATACTATAATTTTGTTGTCGTTCATATCAGTTGTGATTGTGACTTGGGAGTGGGTTGTACGCGTTTTTTTTATGATTGATCGACGTCAAAGCCTGATAATATGCAAGTTGTATTGTTCAATTTCAACGTAAGTGTACATGCTATTATTAATTAATAGCCAAGTATCATTTTCAATGTAACTTATCTTAACAATAATTGGAATCAAAACTTTAAACATATAATAAGAATTAAAATAAGGTATGAACTCCATTAAAAAGAAGGGGATAAACCGATAAAAACAACTGCTGCAGAAGCGGAATCGAAAGGCTTGGTTGAAAGATAAGGATAGTGTGATTGGACGATTGGTTGGAAGGTATGCATTGCATGATTGACTGCTTGCGGGTCGATCATGGACCAAAGTCACGCAAATTATCGTTGTTCCTCCATGGCATTTTTTTAATTTCTATTTTGAATTCTTTTCCTAAATGTTTCAAAAGTGTAATGGGGTGATTACGGGTAGAAGAGAGGTGATCTTGTAAGTGCTTTAGGGCTCTAAAAGAAGAAATAAAAAAAAGTCTAAAAACCTACGGCTTGAACAATCCAAGTCGGAGCCGTAGGTTTTTTTTACCAAATTCCGTAATAATATCTGTCTGTTTTCCTGCTGTTTTGCAATGAACGGAGAGCACTGATGGAAACTCTTCAACTAACAGCAGTGAAAAGGGTTCAATACCATTTTATGTCGTAGCACATACATGTACCAACAGTAGAGTTGTCTTAGTCCTTTAATTCTGTCTTTAGATCGATGTTGGTGGTTAAACCATTATACAAATCAAACGTGTCAAGTTTGAAGTAGGCCTTGTTTGTTTTGTAATCCAGGGTACCACTAGGTAAACTTCGGTACCCTAAATATTTTTACATAACTAAATATAAACAAACCAAGCTAATCCCAAGGATCGTTTTTGGGGAGAGGACTGCGCCGCCTGTAAGCATCTGCAGTTGCGGATCATCACAACTTTCTTATGAGGAGCCAAATTACAAACCAATGTCTAAACTTTATATAGAGATAGTCAACAAGTACTAATAAATTAATAACCTTCCTAACTTTAACTTTTGTTAATAATTAATTAAAAAATTATAAATAGTTAAAGCAATGTATTTATTGATAAAAAAAGAGCTATTAGCTATCCCAAATTTAAAAAAGTTAAATCAATACTTGCATAATATACATAATTAGCATTTATTTTTTTAAATTATGAAAACATAAACAATTTTATATAGATAATAACAAAAACTTATAACCAAAAAAAAAAAAAAAAAAAAAAGCCTAATTAGGAGTACTTGTATCTCGTACTACAATACTCTAGTATTTACAAGTCTAGATAGATATTGGGCACTATGCAATGAAATACAATGACGTGACATATTGTGAAACTATCAATTAAAATACTCCCTCCGATTTTTATTAAATGCAACTTTCATGAGTATTGCGGTTCACGAGGCAAAATTTAAGGGGTATGTGGTAGTGGGGTTAATTAAAGGTGATTAAATTATGTAGAGAGAGAAAGTTTGGCCCACCACTTAGGAAAGTAGTGGTAAAGTAGTGGGTAAAATACTTTAAAGTAGTGTGTAGAGAGAGAAAGTTTGGCCCACCACTTGGTAAAATAGTGGTAAAGTAGTAATTTTAAGGGTTTTTGTTTACCCAAAATAGAAATAAAATAGAAAGTTGCATTTAATTTGAATCGGACTAAAATAGCAAAAGTTGCATTTAATAAAAATCAGAGGGAGTAATAGACACTGAAATTTGTGCCAAACAAAATATAATAATCAAGTAAATGAATAAGAACTAAAACAAGTAAGTTTGGAGTTTGACAAAAAACGCTACATTCTAATTAAGTGGGCCTTCCTTCCTACAAAAAATAATAGGCCTTTCTTTAAATTTACTTGATAAAAAAAAAATTTGGGCAAAATTCTAAGGGGGGCCAGACCCCTACCCGCCCCTTAGAAGGTCTGCCCTTGAGCATCTAAATTGACCCAGAATCATCTTCTTCATCATCTTCAGCAGCTTCACCCCCGTCCTCATCCCCATGTTAATCATCTTCATCTTCATCTTCTGCCGCCTCCTCATCCTTATCAACTTCATCTTCTGCATTTTCCTCATTCTCATCATCTTCAGCGTCGTAGTCCTCAACATCTTCAGCGTCGTAGTCCTCAACATCTTCATCGTCGTAGTCCTCGTCCTCATCATCTTCAGCCTCATCATCAGCATTCCCTTCTTGATTCTGGTCCTTATCACCATTACCAGCATCAGCACCACAAATAGCCACATCACCACCCCTGTCCTCCTCGATAATCCTCTCATCAGGTTGGTCATTTCCAACCGCATAACCTGGCGTGGAACGGATTGCGTGGATTTTACTCTAAAGGCGTGCAATTCGCTGTTCCCGGAGCTGGTGCAAACGGCCTGACAAAACCCTCGCTTCTTCTAGCTTTGCCGTATGTAATGCTGTCATCTTATCCATTTCTTCTAACCTTATCTTCTCCTGTGCATTGATTTCGTCCAACTCCGAGTACAACTTTGCAAGACGCCCTTTTACCTCAGTCACGTCCCGGTCACCCATGGTAGCTTCTTCGACAACCCTGAGACAAAATTGAAAGGATAAATCCATGTTTCTGAATTGGTACGAAACAGGGGGGTTTTGGTACCATCACGACTAAAGTGGTACAATGTGCTCATCCATTACTTGTACCACAAAAATCGCCCAAATAAATTTACAGAAATCATAAACCCAAAATTAATGGTTTATAAATTAGGTAGAAAGGAAGAACAAATACTTCTGTACCACTGTGAGTAAAGTAGTACAATTTCATCATCAATTGCATGTACCACCCAGAACATTGTCGCTGCATCGTTACTACAGTGGTACAAAAAACCCCAACAATACTCCGTAAAAATTCATAAACCCAAAATTATTAGTTTCAATCCCTCCGCTTATTTCAGTTTAAATAGGAAATACAAATAAATCAGTCCCTTCCCCCTCCACCCCATTGTTGTCGTAATAAAGTAGGAAAGACTCAACCCATTAATGGCGACATGAGGAACAACAACACAAAAACAAGTGGGTACCAGGCTAAAAACCAGCAAATGCAGAATCATGATCATGATCACATGTTCACCACACTCCACACTACAACAAGAAACCATTACTGATAAGAAGGAATAAATTGGAGTTCACCACATGCAGAACGAAATAAAAAAAACCAGCAAAAAGGAAACTACCAACAAAAACACTAAGTAAACAAATAACACATTACTACAGAGAAAAAGCAGGGAACATAATTAAAGAGTCCCAAACCAGTAAACGACAAAATGCATAGGAACATACCTTGGAGCGGAATACACTTGGCGAGGTTTTTTTTAGGTTTTCTAGACGGCTTTAAAGGGGAATGAACAGGTGTTTTACTCTTACAACGAAGTATGGAAGTAAAATGAATACGGCGATGAACTTTGGAATTAATGCTCCCAATTCTCGAGGGGAGGTAATGATGGCGTTTCATTTATGAATTTTAATTATCCAATTTTCCTGTGTTTTTTTTTTTATTTAATTTCTTTTTTTTTTATTGGGAAACCTTACCAATTTTTAATTGTATCAATGATTTGTGGTAGTTATGTGTAATCCCCAATGTTCAAATCCAAACATCAAGGATCATAATGAAAATCGCAATTAAACATTACATCAAGGATTATTAAGAAAGTCGTAATTAAACATTCAATTGTAATTCATTGTCTAGAATCATTAGGTTTCCTACAAAACGGGATTCAGTTGATTTTATTTCATACGGCAAGGATCATTACGCTTGTTACAGAGGGGGATTAAGTTGATTTTGGTAATTTTTTATATTTATTTAATATGTTATTTTGACATGTTAGACCTTTACCTTGGAATACGGTTCGATGCAGAGCGGTTGCGGTTTGAAACTAATACGTCGTCATTATTTTTTTTTCGTACTATTATTTTTCCACCAGGTTTCCTTTATTTTGTTGTAATTTTATTTACACAAAACACTATAATTATAAATAAATAACATAATTTTATTTCAACAATGTTATTTCTTTATAATTTTATTTCAACAATAACATACTTTTTTGACAATGACATTTACACACTTCCTACTTTCCTAGTGATTCAAATATTGTTGACAATGACAACCTAATGCCAAAGTGTCTTAGACATTTGCAAGAAAGTCATTAGGACTGCTATTGGCCAATTTACTCTGCACAACAGTGACGGATGAGCTCAGTACCCTTCTGTGCAGAGAAGTACAGAACCGTGATAAATTTGGCTTCGTTTGTCGAGAATTGATAATTATGTAAAACACAATAAACGAAGCAATTTTAGTTGAAAAGCCACATGTTTTCCATCATTACTGCATAGAAAAGACAAGTGGGTAATCCACTTATTAATCCTCCCATTAAATTGTCAAATCAAACCTTTTCACTCACTTCACCCTTTCAACTTCACACTCCTACTCAACCCAATTTATTACTTACACCCAATTACTTAAACAGAGTTAAACCCAATTTCTTTCTCACTCTTCACTTTATAATACATGATCCGTGGAAAAACGTACTCGTATGATTTAATTTATCTCACTTAGTCATATTTATAATAAACATTGCAACTCTTCACATATACTCGTATGTGTGACCTCATAGGACCGGATTATTATTAGTAGTAAACTAATCGCATTAGTCCACAAATCACAGTCCGTTTGTAGCAAAACATTATGATTACCTAAAATAACCGATTACAAATAATCTCCATATTTGTTCTAAAGCATTATGATTACTGATTAGGGGATTTTTATCCACCAATCACCATCTGACAAGTGGACCAGTCAAGTACCGCCATGTATCCGCCACATGGTCCAATAGGAGCCTGCCACGTGTCAACCATATATTCGTCCTCCGTGGACCAATTGCGACACGACACGTGTCCATTCATGCCAAAAGGATAAATCAGCCAACAAGGCCCAATCTTTAGGAAGCCCAGTCAGCCTTAGGTTTAACCTAAACCTAGTATTGGCACGCATCCCAAGGAATATAAATATGCCCATTAATCCTCATTAAGGGGGATTACGCACATTTAACACTCTCACCTAGAGAGACTATATTACATTTCCGCATTAATTACTCTTTAATCAATTACTAACTTGACCGTTGGAGGCGGATCTCCAATCATCCGGAGCATCCGTTTGTTTTGCAGGTACAGGCGTCCGGTTCCAGTCTCGAAATTGTAACTCTCCCACAGGACATCAGAAAACCCCAAAACATCTTGGCGCCGTCTGTGGGGAGAGTACTTTTGAGATGGCATCCACGTCTGTACCGACTCCTGAAGAGAGGCGTCCCTTGGACGACCCTCAAGTTCAGTCGGACCATGATATTGAAGAACAGTTTGAAGTTGAAGCTCATACAGCTTCAGACGGGACCCTAAGGGCCCGGCGCACCCGTCATACCGAAAGGAGAGAACGGGAAGATCCTCAAACTGGACTCAGTGATCCAGTCGGCGCACCGTCTGCTCACCAGCAGCCGGCTGACGGATCTGCTCCCATTACAAGGACCGAACTCATAACCTTCATTAGGGGCTTCAAGGGAGAGATTCAGGAGCTGATCAATAAAAAGACACCTGCTCTGGTCAAGGAGCAGTCGGCTAAGAAACCTTCCTCTTCAGGGAAGAGAAAGCCTGTTCAAGGGCGAGAGGCGACCCCTCATCCTAACTCTAGGAAGTGGGAGCCGCCTGTCCTTGATTTCACAAAGTATCGCTTTCCTTCTCCAGGAAAAAGGAAACCCGTTCGTCATATTCAGGCGGATGGGTTGAAGAAAACATACAAAGACGCTCGGCTATTGCTAGAGCAGAAGAAGAATGACCGACTGTCAGAATCGGCCTCTACTTCGGATTTTCAAGACAATCTACGCAATAATTCTATGAGGTATACTCAGTCACATCATGAGAGTCAAACATGCGGTACCTCCCGTTAGTTTAGTTTTCATAGTGACCAGGCGGTACCAAACTTACCATTTGTACCACAACAACAATATTTCTTGCAGCCACCTCTGTTTGGAGGACATGCGGCAAAAAATGTCCAACCTATGGACTGGCAGCTACGGTTGCTTAGACTTGGGGAACAGCCGTCAGCCTTCTCCAAAGAAATTACTGAAGCCGCTCAGCCGGCCAAAGTGAAAAATGTGTTAGTAGGAGCCTATGACGGCACTACTAACCTAGAAGACCATTTGATGGCATTCACCAACCTGATGTACCTTCAAGGTTTGGATGATCCCACTTGGTGCAAGTGTTTTCCAGCGACTCTTAAAGGAATCGCACAACAATGGTTCGGCAACCTGCCGACTGGTTGTGTGAATAACTTCAGGACGCTTGCTTACTTATTCACCTCCAACTTTGCCATGAACATACCTGCGAAGAAAACAACCCTTGATTTAGGGACAATTCAGCAATGTGAGAAGGAGGGGCTTCGTTCTTACATCAGGCGGTTTAACCTGATGAGAATACAGATTCAAGGGCTACCGGATGAGGTGGCCTATACTGACTTTTTCAGAGGCCTCAAAGACGGGTCGACCTTCAAGTTTGATCTGGTTCGAAAGAGGGTGGAGACTCTTCAAGAAGCTTTGATCGAAGCAGAAGCCTATATACAGGCGACTGATCTTTGTAGTACGGAAAAACAGTCGGACGGGAAGAGCTTCAACAAAAAAGGACGACAGAAACAGTCGTCCAACAAAGATGAGAAAAAGAGAAAAGAGGTATGGGCGGCTGATTCCTCTAAACAGCCGGCCCAGAAAAAGAGGAAAGAATTCAAACCATACTCCCCGAAGTATGCGTTTAACAAGGATAGCCAAGCTATCCTAAAGGAAATCAAGGGATGGATCTCAATTGAGAAGCCGGCCCCCATGAAGGGTTCTACAAGCAGTCGGAACCAAGGAAAATTCTGTGATTATCATGAAGATGTTCGTCATGAAACCAACGAATGCATCAGTCTCATGCGATATCTGGACCGCCTGGCTGAGCAAGGCGATCTTGACTCTAATGTCAAGAAATCCAAGGGGAACTCTTCCTCGAAAAAGCAGTCGGTCAAAAAGAATCAACAGGCCGACAACTCTGATACAAATGATGCAGTCGACTACACCATTGCAGGCGGTTTCTAAGGAGGCGGCCCCACTATTAGGGGCAACAAAGACAATATCAGGCGGCTAGACGTCAATACTGTTCACAAAGAACGGTCCTCCAAATATTCATTTCCTGAAATTGTAATCACTGAAGAAGATTTAGGAGGGGTAAAAGGGCCGCATGACGACCATATTTTTATTGAATGTAAAGTGGCCAACCAGAGGGTTGGCCGAATCCTCATAGATACCGGCACCTCCTTAGATCTTATCAGTAGCAAATGTCTGTCAAAGCTCAAATATCAGACTAATTGCATACATCCGGTATCCCACCCTCTAGTAGGGTTTGGAGGAGGAGTCGTCCACCTAGTGGGACGAGTGGATTTACCCATATGCCTGGGTGAAAAAGGGGAAGTTTGACACATGGTGGTCTGGTTCTTGGTAGTTGAGGAACTCTCGGCCTACAACATGATTCTGGGACGACCAACCCTG